CTGCCTCGCAGTTTACTCTTTCGCTCTACTCTCTGCAGCTCTACCCTTAGAGCTCTATCGTATATATATATATACGAGCCCTGCCATGTATATAGATTATAATGCAGCTCGTCGAGTATCTGTCTCTCCTCTCTCTGGCTGCATGCAGCGCGAGTATAAGTATCTGGCAAAGAGACGCCTCGACTGCTGCTGCTGCTACTGCTTCGTGGGCGATTTTTTGTTTTCAACGCCGAGAGAGAAAAAAGAGAGACACTCACACACACACACACACACACACACACACACACACACATACGCGAGACACGTTTGGAAGAGCGGCAGCGCGCGCGAGCGACTCGCATGTGGGTCAACAAGAGACTTGGTCAAAGCTCGTAATGTATACATACGTGTACATCACCTACACACACACACAAATCCACACATTGCGGACACATTGACGAGCGTTTTGTCTCTTTAAAGAGCTCGAGTGATATGCTTTCTTATTTGGCTCCCCTTCGCGCGAGCTTTCTATCTCTCTCCCTTTTGCAATGTTATATTTTTTCCAGTTTTCGTATACGTTATAGAGTTTGTCTGCGGGAGCGATTTCCAGCGGCTCCGCGTGCTCGTCGCAACGGGGGGTGCGCGCACTTAACGAAGATGATTCATTTAGGGAATTACGTGATTGATCATAATAGCGCACAGCTCGACTCGCACTGAATCACATCGCGCGGAGCCATATAGTATAACGCACTGCTTTGTCTGCGTGGACTGAGACTATATAGCATTACGAGTATACTACAGCTTCTCTGCGTGAGCGTATGCCTGAATAGTTTCGTCGACAGCCTCGGCGCGTAATTTTTCCAAATATTCGCGTCCTGTACGCTGCGCACGGATTGATTACGGGCGCTCCGCGGCGCATTGTTGCAGTATCGGAACGTGTGTACAGAAACACGAAAAAAAAAAACTATGCCATCGCGATAATAAAGGCGGCAATGCTGCAGCAGCACTCCCACATGTGCGCGGAGCGAGCTGCCTACACCGCCGGGCAAGGCCGTTTTTGCATTGCCAGTCGCAGCAGTTGGCTCCAAAGGCGAGCGCATAAACGAACCGACGAGCGACGTATTCTATGACTTTGACATTGTCGCTTTCCAGACAATTCACGTGTGTGGATTTCTTCTCGCTGCTTGGGTCGCGTTTCGTGTTATATGCCGAGCCGCCGTCGAATGCCTAATGTCGAAACTTGCACCGGGACTGCGGTACAACGCGCGGCACTGCAGTCTAATTAACATACTTTAGCTCGCTAATCCGTTAGCTGCGTGAAATTTCAGCCTTATCTCATTAAAATTCCGTACTTTTTTGGCTAAGAAGAGATTAGATTTTATATTGCCCTTATCTGTACGTGTTTCAAGAACTACGCACGATCGAATTTGCTCTTTCGCCAAGTAGTCACCTCTTATCAGTCACAACGTCGAATTCACGTCATCTTCGAAAGAGCTATCAGAGGGTAACGAGCCCGAACATTTGCGTACGAGCAAACATCGTCGCATCGTCCGAAGAGTATGGCGTAGGTATGTACACATGTGACGCGAGAGACACGCGCGTCAGCAGGGCACTTTTGCGCGCGGGACAGAGATAACGCGCGCTCTGCGTACGCGGAAACGATCGCGAGCGCGCTCGCACTCGCCGCCGCACAATGTACCGGGAGATCAGGCGAGAAAATGTCAATGAATGGATACAAAAAAAAAAAGAAAAAAGAAGAAGCGAATATCGTGTGCGACGTCTATGAAAAGTACCGAGCGCTCCGTACGGATATACGCGTACCTTGTCTGTGTGCGCGTCTATGTACGCAGCTTGCTGGGCCCCTAGTTCTATATAAACGTACAGTAGCCGTTCTCTTTTAAAAGGATCGACCTTTTCAATCGACTAGCCGTCCTTGGACACCGACTGGGCTTTTATAATACCACATGTAAACTATCTCTATTTCCATCTGTCGAGTGCACAAGCGGATGCGACTGGCACTTATTTCGTCTAGGCATGGACGACTTTTGTAACTATTATGATAAATTCGTACTTTTAGGGGCGCGCGTAATACGCATCCATATCTTCATTTTAATTCGAGCATGTCTAATTCCAAAGTTAACGACGCGGAAGAACGGAGCCGCGATGCCGCTCGCGCGCGCCTTCACAAAGACCGACCGAGTCGATAAAGCAATTTACCCGAGACATAATTGAAATTTAAAACAAGCGATCCCATACGAGCTGAAAATGCCAGAGCGAGATGCGATCGAGAGCGTTGCCAAAAAAGAAAACGAGCGAATCCCGACGCAGAGATTATACTCGTGGCGCTTGCACCGATACTCAATGGAGCGTTTGGCGAGTGTCAGGGTCGAGTTGCTAATTGATTTGATTATTCTCTCTTATCAACTTTCCTGCCCTTAATTCGGCTCAATTTGAAGTCAAAACTGCATTATGTAAGTAAATCTACGCAATTACTTTTTCAATTTACGCGCAGAGTTGCTGCGGATGCTCGCTGCATTGAGCAAATTTTTTAATCCAACATTTTATGAACTTCCAATAACGTAAGAAATTAATCGAATACTTACATTTCGGTATTTAATTCATTCAAACTAAAGATGACTACGTAAAATAATGGGCTCAATGAATAAGCTCAAAATCAATATTTAAAATTCTATCATTTGGCATGACAAATTGTTTAATCTTCAACGTTAGGAGAGATAAAAAGCAAAAAATTCAAAGCAAATAACTCAAGACGAGTCCACAGCTCGATTTTTCCCGTCTCAAAAATTTTTAAATATTGTTGTATTGATAGGTGTTTGCGCAATCTTCCACTTTCACGCTGAATAAATTATTCATTTTTTCCGAGAATCAATGATTTATACAAAAGAGAACCAGTGTGCAAAATCTTCCAATGAAGAAGGTTTAACGTCGAGGAAAAAAAGTAACAGCAGACGAGACTCGACGACAAGGTGATGAGCAACAAAAACGACTCTGTCAATTGTGTCGAGCAGCTGTGTGGATATCACGAGAGCCAAGATATTCCGAGGCCTACTTGATTAACGGGGTACACGAGATTTCATTTTCACCGGTCGATGCCTAAAATGTGCGTCTTCTTGCATTCTCCCCTACGTAAAGCAGCTCGAGTAACGCAAAGCATACACGCGCACGAGGCTCTCGTCGGTTCAGCCAACTGGAAAACGTCCGTGCATCGTTGAATTCGCGCGGCTTTACATCTCTCGTGTTTTGCTCGATCTACATTATACGCATACATATGTAATTTATAAATATATACGTAGGCGCATATGCATCGCTCAAGCGCGTTTCGTGGAGAGATAGAGAAAGAGAGAGAGCGCGCAAGAGAGCGTCCCTTTCTCCTCATCGCCGTAAGAGACTCTACATATAGAGCGAGTACAGTGCAACGAGAGCACCCAAGGCAAAAATCGATATCACATAAATTCCCTCTGTCAGTGCTGCTCTGGGATATGCCGCGCGTCCGACACTCTTTTCTCAATGTCTCGAGGATGAATGGTTTTTACCCGAGCCACGCACGCGTAAACTCGGCTGCTGCTTTTCTGTTCTAATAAAAATTTCCCATGGATTTTCCATTAGAACAAGAGAGAGCAGCGCGCGCGAGAGAGCTGCGTGTGACGTACGTACGCACTGGCGCAAGCTTTAAAGCTCATTTCTCGCGCGAGAAGCTTGCGATGCACGCACAGCCGCACGACGCGTGTATATAGAGCACACGAATAAGAAGCAGAGAGAGAGAGAAAGAGAGAGAATGCAGTCTGCTCCGGATCAGAGGGAGCGCGCCTGCGCCGAGTCTAGCAGACGTCGTTGCTAGTCGCTACTGCTGCTGCTGCTGCTGCTGACAGAGCGAACAGGCATGGCTGCTACTTCTGCTGCTACTGCTCCAAGGCAGTCTGCGCGTGCTCTTCGCCTGATTATTGCATAGAATGTAGAGCTCCGCTGCTCGCAGCCTTTATTACACGTATGCGCATATATTGTCGGTCTCTCTTTCGATTTTATTTTTTTTTTCCTCTCCATCACAGCGAAAAAGCTTCCGCGATCGGCCTAATCTGTTCTCACCCATCGAAATGTCAGCTTTTTATTCGGTTTTTCCGCTAGTCGTCCGAAACAAAGGTCGTGCCGCGGCGGCGAGCTGCTGCTGCAGCGGTCGCGCCGCGCGACTATGCGATTACGCAATAGATAGACACACACACACGCTCCCGCGCGCGCGCGCGCGCCTAGCACCGAGATGCATTGCAAGCACCACACACATAGACAGGCAGCGGGAGGCGAGAGAGGAAAACTCGGACCGATCGATCGGCCGTTTCCCGTTCTATGTATTTCGTCGGTGGCGTGTCTGTGTGTGTGTGTGTGTACGAGTGTTTCTATGCATTCGTGCGTGGTCTCTTCTCTTCCCGTGTGTACGTGTGTGTGTGTGTGTGTGACTCTGCGTAGAATGCATATTCTCTCTGGTGGAGGCACCCGCGCTCCGATTCACGACCTTGAGACAACGCGCTTCAACGCGCGGGCGCGCGCAACGCAAGCCCGCTCGCTCGCGTTCTTTTTGTTTCGTGCAAAAAAAAAGGTGCAGCTTCTGTTCTGGCTGCATAAGTGGGGAAAATAAGTGGAAAGCTGTTTGTCCAGCTTCTGGCAACGTTGCAGGACGAATTCGTAGACAAGATTGTACATTTTACATAAGTCCTGCGTGAAAAATTTTACCAGAGTCTATTGTTGTATGTCACTAGATAAATAAGCAATATTGAAACGAAATGATAACATGGCGTACTAAGAGAAATAAAAAATAACTCAAAACTGTGCCTAGTATAATCAACATCTATGATACCAAATAAATCATAATATACTCAAAGAACTGTGCTACAATAACGAAACATAACAAGTTGCCTATTGCCTTAGGGCAAAATAAAAATGTAGGTGCATACTCTTGAACTACGGTACAGCAAAACGTCTAGAGTGATAAATTATTGAAGAATCATTACCATGACTGGTTGAGCTGATGGTCGTACAGACTCTTCGGAAATCTAATTAACGTAGGAAAGCTGCCTGCGCAGAGGAGCTTTCTCACAAAACACGTCAGCCGCACTCACGACGACGACGACGACTACACGCACTTCTGTACACGAGACTTTTATGTCTTAATTCTAGATTAGATCATTCCCTACTTGAATCAACAACTTTACACCATCGACACACTTGACTGTTTAATTTTCTTTCTTTTTATTTTTTTGTCACGAATCGTATACTGTTATACTGATGAGGTAGCTGGTCGTCGTCGCCGTACTCTTCAGTTGTCGTTCAATGTCGGTTATTCAAGAGCTACCGAACGAGCTCTATGCTACACTGCTGGTGCTGGTGCTGCTGGTGCTTCAGCTCTGCGCCAATCACTGAGGACATTCGGGGGGGACCAATTATAACACCACGCATGGATTGCACAAAATTTTCATAGATAGGATATCATAATTCAATATCATCGACGAAGACGGAGAATCCGCAAAAGATTTCCACTCGTCTTCACGAGCAAAAAGCTTCAGCCGATTCTCTCGTGTATATGTGTATATTATGTGTGCTCAACAGCACAGCGAAAGCATCGCAAGCACGCGCACAACAAGCACACTCACACGACAAAAGCAATCGTTTCCTTATTATCCGGAATAAGAATGATAAAAATCAAGTACTATTCGCACTCATTTTGGGGGGAAAGGCCCGTTTCCGAGGAAAGTCGGTCGTGGAGAAATTGATATAGAGAGAGCTGGACGAACGACGTGCTGCTGCTGGCAAGCGCTGCAGTTGTCGCTCGCGGACTGAAGCCCGAGCTTGCACGAGTGGTGCACCGGCGGATTTGCAACCCCCCCGCTGCTGTACTGCCACGAGATATCGCCACCCCGTTGTCGCAGGCGCGAGGCGCGACTTACATAAGGATAGCGCGAGACGTATAGTGTTAGGGAGCGAGCAAAGAGTCGACGATATACATGTATAAACGACGACGACGACGACGACGACGACGACGACGACGAGCCCAGCGAAGCTGCTACGTGAATCCACGATCAATCTGGTGGCCACGCGCGCACACTGCAACCCCCGTGTTGTCCGCGAGTCACGTGATCGATCGATTCTTCAGACTCGACGGCGAGGCTAGCGAGAGAGAAACGAGAGAGCTGTGCGACCGCACGTATATACATGTAGAAATATCTCTTGCTCTCCCAGTGCTGCTTTGTGTGAGTGTGTGTATATACGTGAAAATATACCGCACACGTACGCTATACGGAGGACTGGCTACGGATGGAATTCGCGGAGGCTGGAAAAGTTGGCGCTAGGCTAGGGCGCGCTAGGCCACACTAGGCCACACTTGGCACTCGATGCAGCTACCACGACGCGACGAGCTTTCAGCGCGATTACGTCGATGTCTACGTCACTGTTTAATGCAGCTTTCGGCTTTTTAAAACTCGGTTATTCGATGCAATCGCGCGGGCTCGCGTCGTCACGATTCGCGTCAGCAACTATACGATGTACAGCGATGTACGTTACACACCAGCCAGCTCGATATGTCGAGAGCTTTGAAGCGTAAAAGCTCGATTGCAACGCGAAGCTTTCCGAGTCGGAGCCTTTCGATCGGCGAAATGGCCAACTCTCTTTTGCGGGAAACACGACCACGCGGTTCGCGGTTTCTTCTCGTCGCAAGCACGACTCGTCACGCACAGAACCATCAGCATTCGGAGAGATTATTATCGCAACAGATGCCACGAGTATTGCGTTGAGCGTGTCTAGCAGCTTCGCAGCAGTAGCAGAGCATCTATGTATATATATAGAGAGAGAGAGTATCTTTGACAAGCGAGTCGTCGTCAATGAGTTATTTTTGTGTCACTGCCCATGTCATTGAAAGCATAGTAGTCGAGTTCTCGTTTGCGGTGTGTATGTCTGCTGCTGCTGCTGCTACTGCTGCCGCGCCTCTCGCTGCTCTGAACTATATTCACGAGAGTCCGAGCGAGCAGCGATGCTGCATGCTGAACGCGAAACGAATGGCCCTAACCTTCGCTCGACTAGGATGATTCGAAACACTTGTCACGACACACGTCAACAGAACAACACACGTTGTGCACTTGATATACACCGCCGTTATCGGGAAAATATTATGTCCAACTTGCACGGTAGCACTCTGTTAGAGATCGTCCACACTTGGCACGTATTTGCACATTCCTGAAATCCTTGAACGCCAGCTATTTCAATTCGACACATGCATCCTCGAGAGAGGTAATTGTTCTCTCCGCAGATCCGCGACGAACGATATACAAGCATACAGAGAAAGTGCATCGATATTATACGCGCGTGGGCCTACTACGTGATCAAGAAGTCGTTCTCCGAGGCACACTCACGCGTCATCGTCGCTCGCAAGCTCGCACACACGTATACGTACACGCGAGCAGCTTTCGTCTGTAGCTACTGCTGGGGTTTTATACATATATACACGTATAGGTCGCGCGATGACGTTTACAGGGCCAGCTACTACTGGTCGGTGGCTAGAACGCGAACCGACCGATTTATTCCGAGAGATTATAACGAGGGTGTGGACTCGTGTGCCTGCTGCCATTGCACCGCAATGCTTCGTGTACGTGTGTCTGTGTGCGTATTATATGTGCGTGTGAGGGACCCGTGGCACGTATTATGACTATATACACACATATTCAATTTATTCAGGCGATAAGTATCGCGAGAAAAGCGAATTATAATGACGTCAAGTTTGCGGAGTATTATATATACTTTTTATAGGCCATGATATAGAAAGATGTTAGGTAATCGGTATACTGAATGTGTACGTAAGGGTGGTGTGTGCTTTGTTGGTGTGTAGGTGCCACTACCACCAGCGCCTGGCACTACCAGCAGCAGTAGCAGCAGCAGCAGTGGCAGTAGCAGTAGTTGTAGTAGTAGTAATAGTTGTAGCAGCAGCAGCAGACGTAGCGGTTGTGGAGAGAAAGAGAGAGAATGTAGAACGGGTAAAAAAGGGTAGTAGTTAGAGAGAGCGAGGCAGGGATAGGTATGTAGGAACGAACACAGGCTTACATTCGCGTGCATACACATCGCTCTCGTCCGTGTGTGGAGTATAAAACAGCGTGTGTGTACGTGTATTTGTGTGTCGCACGCGTCTGTATGTATGCACGTACAGCAGCAAGGGAGCGAAGAGGGCGCTCGTGGCTAGTCGCTCGCGAGCATCCAAAAAGCCCGAGCGTATATCTATAGAGTCGTGAGGGTTGCTCGGCTGTATTATATATAACGTGTGCAGAAGCGAGAGAGCGAGACCGAGAGAGTAGTGGTAGTACTGGCTCCGCTTCTGGCGTTCGATCGATTTAATCGAGGCGATGAATCGCGCGCGCGTTCGGCACCGATTTTCCTTACTCGTTCTCGTCGTCGTCGTCGTCTATATATATTTTTTACGGCTCTAAGACTGATTTTGCTTTTTGGCCGAGCGACAGAATCCGCGCGCGTCGTCGTTTCGACGCACCGAGGCAAAAATATATGTAGGCGAGCGAGCGAGCGCGAGCGCGCGCGCGACATGCGCGACCACGGCGAGCGAGATGGAGCGCGATGGACGGAGAAAAAAAGCTCGTTAATCGCGAAGGGGAGCTTTCGCCGCTGGTGGTTGTTGGAGGAAGAAGCAAGACAAACCTTGTCGTCACCCATGGCTGGTGCGCTATGTGTCAAGCGTGACGGCGGCGGCTGCTGCTGCTGCTGCTGCCTCCTCTGCTCTTCCGTAGAATTCCCAAGTTGCTGCTACGGCTTTTTCAGCGAAAAAAAAGCTGCACACTCGACGTACTCGTCGCGCACTCGATATAAGCTCGTACCGTGCACGGCTTATTTTATATATACTGTCTCGCGACGTTCTCTAGGCGGCTGTCGTCGGGTCGTCGTGCGGCTGCTGCTGCTGCACACACGCGAACGGCCACACGGGTCTCGGCTCAATCGAGGTGTCGGCTGATCGCGGCTCGTGCCTCGGGTGGACCAAAGACTGACACTGTCGCGTACACCGCTTATTCCTCTAGCGCGCGCCAGTAGTAGTCTCCTCACTCTCTCTCGCTCGCTCGCTCGCGCCCGCTATACTCGCACAGACACAGTATATACACACACAGAGGCGGAGAGAGAGAGAGACAGAGAGAGCTAGCAGTAGCGACGACTCCTATATACCTATACGTTGCACCAACGCACTCGCACACGGTTACGTACACTCTTGCTCGGTATATGTCTCGTACGTGTGTACGTATATCTATGCGCTATCTGCTATCTTTGTCCGGCCGAAGCGACGACTATACGACTATACCGTGCTGCTAAAGCTGCGTGTGCGCGCGCGCTCACATACAGAGAGACTCTCGCAACACTCACACCACGATACGCCACGACTGAGTCTCGGCTCGCTCGCTCCGCTGCTCTAATAGTGCGCGCCCGCGATCTGCCGCTGCTCTGCTCATCCGTGTGTGTGTGTATGTGGAGCTGTTCTCCGTCTCCGTCTCGCTCGCTCGCGTATATAACTTGCACACACACACACACAGCGACTCCGGCCGCCACGTACGTATATTACGCTATACGGAGCGCTGCTTTTTGCGCGCTCGTGTGAGTAATCCGCTGCCGTGTAGGTATAGGCGAGCGCCACGCATACATTCGTCCGCCGAAACGGACTGTCTCGCTCGCTCTTTCGCGCATCCACGCGAACCCGCACACGCTTACAAGCTCGCACACGCAAGCGAATAAGCGCGCAAGACTCGGCGCAGCACCGGCATCATCGACCGGTCTACTACACTCCTCCTCGCAGGCCGCCCCACTCTCCTCTCGCTCGCCGTCGTACACACGACCAAAAGTCCATGTGTGTGTGTGTGTGTGTGTTCGCGTGTGTCGTATAGCAACCACCACCCCCGCTGCGCACGCGTGGAAACCCCCCCACACGCCGCGCAGCAACGGCACTCTATACACGGCACAGAGAGAGAACCGTTGGCTGTCTCGCTCGCAACCGCGATAATCGCCGATAGTGCCGTCTCCTCCCCGCGCCAGCTGCCGTGCGCTCGCACAGTCTCGCGCTCTCCTACTCCCGCAGCTGTTTCCCTCCCTCCCTCGGTGGTCTTTCTCTTTCGTAATACGCGCCGTAGAGCTGCTCCGAGCAAAAGCTTGGGCAAAAGCGCTGCGCAAGCTTGGGCGGCGACAGCGGACCCCATCGCGCATGCGCTCGCCATCGTGCGCAAGTCGAGCTTGCGCGCCACTCGAGAGCCTCCGCGCTATGAAATATTGCAGCAGCAGGCGCTGCTCTCTGCCCTTTACTGCACGTATATATGTGTAGAGAAAACTGAAAGCTCGCTCGAGATAACTGCCGCGCGAGAAGCTGCTGCTGCCGCTGCTCGAGGTATTATAGGGGAAAACGAAAAAGACACTAGAACGAGTGCAATCGCGCAGCGAGCTTGCGAGTTTATATTGGATGGATTACCAGCGCGGGGTACGTTGCACTTGCAGATAATGGAGAGGCACGAATCGATTCGACTTGGCGCTCATCGTAAGTTCGATTTCAACGTCACGCCGAAAGGACCTAATTTCTGCAGAACTAAACCAACTTACACGACTCGCGGAATAACGTGTCAACGAAATATTTGCACTTATCACATAGATCGGCTCGTGTTCCTGTTAATTTTTATAACGTAGAAATTTACCGCTCGAAACGGAGCTTATGATTATTGAGCACCACTGCTAAGGGAACTGTGTTACTGGGCTATTCGTCCAATTTTACAAATAACGGCGTAGCTCTATACCGAACGACAACAATGAAAATCAATTTTCGGTAATATTTTATTTTCATTTACTGCTGTTTCTGTAACTCAAGTTTTTTAAATCTGAACCTTCGACATTTGGCATAATTTCGATTTTTCTGTAAAAGAATAGTAGGACAGAGCAATTTTATTCAATTGATAAGGTAACTCCATACTTTTCACAAAACTTCTCATACTCACCGGTCGTAAAAAAGTACAGGTCGAGTTCCTTTAATCTAATATCTTGGTCCTGACACTCTCCTTTATGACTTTTTACAATTAAAAGTTCAAAAGTTCTTGAATGTAGACGAACAGAAGAAGAAAATGGGTTGCTCGGCTTACGTAGTCCGAAACTCTACACTATAAGACGCGCCCCCGTAGGTGCGCGAACCTAGCGTATATGGAACCGAATGAAAATGGTCGTGTTCATTGAAAACGTATTCAATACACGTGTTGAGTTTTTCCAATTACTACAACGCCGTGTTTGTAAAACTTTGGAAATTTCTATCCGCTGAAAATTAACTCTCGATATATAAGCACTCTTTACCTATTTTTTTTTTCTTTCGCCAACTTTCAACCGGCAGTTTTAGTTTCGAGCATCTCTTTTTACATTTGAGCCGAACAATGGTAATCGTCGATGATAGGTAAAGAGACTCGTACAGTGCACCCAGTAGCAGCGGCTTAACAGCCAATATAAAGTGCCATAATACAGCAGTTAAACAGTCGCTTAGACGACGTCGAGTGCCAGTTAAACGCTGCGTCCACTGGTCAGTTCAGCGGAATATATACATCTGTCAGGTTCAATGGCGACTGTCGAGGGAGCGAGAGAGAGAGAGAGAGAGAGAGCTCGGCTATATAGAAAGCGATTAGAACCGTGAGCGATCCCGCTCTTGTGATGTCGCGTTGGATCCCTATATAGGCTACACATACGCGGCTATTTTCCGCGTTCTGCGCCACACGTTGAGAAAGTTTCGCAGCGCAGCATACGCAACGCGCGCGCACACATACACACACAGACAGACGCGCGTGTGTACGTCGGCATGGTGCTATGAATAACGCATTTGACCCAATAAAGCGCGCGCGCGCCAAGCTATAATACGCATCGCGACGACGGGACAAAATAAACACGAGCACGTGCTATGCGAGCGCGCAGCTACAACACGACGACGACTTGCACTTCGCCGAGTAGGAGCTTGCGCGCCGATACGTATTGGCAGATGAAGTGCTTATACTCGTCGGATCCCAAACGAGGCGTGGGTATGTTAAAGCCCTCTATACGATGTATACACATCTCGTGCGCATTTATATTTCGACTCATTTGTCGCGACTCACGTTCGCGCGCACGCGTATTTTTAACCGAACTCAACCGCACACGGCACACACGGCTGTGGCGAATTTTTTCGTTTTTATCTTTATGAATCGTTCGTTGGCGGCTACACGTTACGCATTATATATATAAAAGCAGCTCGTTGCGCAACGCTGAGACCATCGAAAAGTATAAAAACCTGCTCGATTATGTATACTTAGCACACCGACGCGCGAGATATACTCGTGTACTTGTCGTATACAATACAACCAACACTACACCGCATAGCTCATGGTCAGCTTCGCGCTCGACGCAAATTGCGTAAATTCTCTTATATACATGTGAATGGAGCAATAGAAAAAATTCCTTTTCAAGCGCACGCTCGCGTCTAAATTTTGCACCCTTTATATTTGAAAAGTCATTTGCACTTATCTCAATCCCAAAGTCTCGAGAGCAAAACACCGCAAGAATTTTTAATCGACCGAAAGATTTTTCAGAATTCGTAATTGAGTTTTTAATGTCGGATCCGCGCTGCGTATAGCGTTGGGAGGAAAAGAAAAACACGAAACTCGCAGCAGCCACTTGACGATTCCGTGCGCGTAGCGAATTTACCTTGCCGAAGAGCGAAATTACATAATAAAATCTATATCGTCGCGTCGCCATCGTTGGAGGGTTGCTAGCTACAAACTAACTCCACTTATTCAAAGATAAAATTTCTTCACTTGTGTATTAAAACTCTCGACTGTAACCTGCAGTTTTAGCTCTTCTTCCTTCCGAATCTCTTTCATCTTTGCATATATACGTACACCGGACGATGTTGAATCGACGAGAGAATCTACGAGAAAGTAGATAAGACGCTTCGCGTGGGACTGACAAATTTTCCAGCTCCATTCGTCAGATGGAACGTCCGGATAGACCAAGATACAATTTCGTAAAAAAATCACTCGAGCTTTTATTATTTTCATGACGAGCTTTGTCGAGCTTGGCTTCAGTAGCCAACAGTTTCCATTGCCTTTGCTAGAAGTTGATAATTGCCAAGGAATCCGCTCATTAAAGCTCATGTCTTAAAGGCCGATAAATTTGATCATTACCCCGCAGATGATCTTCGCGTGTTTGCACGCAATTTTTTTTAATTAAAAGAAAGGAAAGATTGCGTGCTCGCGTGCTAATCGTTATCCATTAGGCTTTTCGTGAGAAAATTTGAAAAGCGTGTCTCGCTCGATGCTTATTTCAAAGATAGCCGTGTCAGCGCACATTGCGACATTTTTCGCTTTCAATTTACCTTACATCGACGTGCGCAGACAGTAAAATTATAAATCAAATTAGCAAGTTTCACGATTGGATTTTCGATTCGATAAATAAAATGCGGTACAAATGTCAGCTCGTACTCGTGAGTACAAGTTCACGTATCAATAAAATCACGCGCAGCGAAAACCCAAATTGTTGAAAATAAAACTCCGACAAGCCAAACACCTGAGGACGTAATATTTATGAATTTATTTTTTTCAATCAACGGAATAACTCGAGTGAAGAATCCAGCGTATTTTTCGCCGATACAGCATGCGAAAAAAATGATAAAACGAGGCTGCATTCGTTTGGTTGAGTTACACTCGATACATGCAGCAGAACGAAAAGTTATTTTTATTATATTCCCTCGAAGCGTGCGTTGTTTTGTCAACAGTAATCTCATAACAAGCGCATAAAGTTCGCTCGAGCGAGTATAGGCAAAGATATATAGGCCGTTATTGTAAAAAATTAATGCGCTTTGTCTCGCGACGCTAACGCATAGGTCGAAATGCAAAAAATATAAATACGAATTCGTTATTGGATAGCGCGCTCGCACAATGAGTACCTATGCACAAATGCGCGTTTTTTTGTATGCGTGGCATTCGAGAGAGCTCGAGCGAGTAAATTTTGCATTGACACGAAAGTATATTGTGACGAGACTTATTCGACATCGAACTGGATTGCTCTCTCTCAGCTTGACAGACAAAATCGAAACTCTTGCCTCGTCCAAGCTGCACTGCGGAGCCTATGGCTCGTTCGGGCTTTGTTCGGCCCACGTGTATTTCCTACTTCCGTAAGCACACACGCATGTAGACGTATAAAGCTGTACAAGTGTGTGTGTGTGTGTGTCACACTCGCACAAACTGCAGGACAGGTGCACGCGTGCAGCGGACAATGGCAACGCAGTATACGCGCGCAATGCTACTACTCAGTCTCGATACGTAATTTGCTGCCATACTATTACTGGCTATAGGTTATGCAATAAAACGCATGCGAG